GCACCCCTGGTACCGTTCCAGACTGTCCGGGTCCGGTGATATCCGGGTGTCCGGTAATGTCCGGATCACCGGATAGTCCGGACCGGTCCAGACACTGGTCCGGAAGTGTCCGGTGTCCGGGACCGGGGTTACCATGGGATACGTGCAGCGCAATGTCAGCTACTAATTTTGTTTCCTTCAACACAGCCTTCGCTCCATTGCAAGACTGGAAAAGTGCCCTGTTGCTGTCCTGACATTGAAAGGACAGCACCGCAGTCTTCGTTTCTTTTTATTTCCATGGTTCTACAGATAACATAGAGAAGGGAAAACGCACAACTGTCGATCTCGCTTCTCCTGCTTGAAAAATTTGAGCCCAGCCCAAAGCTGCGCCGACACTGTGAAGAGACCTCCGAGCATGCTGGAGGCCCAAAAACGTTAGCTGCACAAGGTACTGACAGTTCGCGTGGATTTCGTTTTTTCCGCTGCTGTTTTTTACACAAGCTAGGAACCAATTGAAAAAGAAGAAACCAAAACCCAGAAGAAAAGAACAAAAAAAAAAAAAAAAAAAAAGTTAAAAAAACAAAACCCAGGGATTGACGGGACATTGTTGCTTACTTTCGCTCCTCTTTGCAGTCCCTTTCCAGAAATATCAATGCCGGCCACATGTTTCACAGGCGAATGACCAACAACTGCCTCCAATAACGATGCAGCACCGCAACCTAAATCAATCTGTAAATGGAGACACAAAAATGAGGAACAAAGTTCAACAGACAGCGCTTACGCATGTTAAAGAATGGAGAACTCAGCAAAAGAACAAACTCACAACAGCGAGACAGAGAAGAGGAACAAAGCAGGGAGGGAGGGAGGGCAAAAAGAAAGGAAGGGAGGAAGTCCAAGCCCTAAAAATGTCTGAACAAGAGTTCAAGCTACATCCAAAGCACCCCCACTATATCAATGCACATGCATCGGCAGATTCGCTATAGTTTGACAGCCCTCCCCAACCATCAACATATATCAAGATGCGCAAGATAAAAGCCACATCGAAATCTATCAAAGTTAATAGACGCACCTCAATAACACCTCCATCTCTTATTCAGAATCCCCGTGCGCATTCATCCCCATTGCACTCTCTTGGAGAAAGGGAAATTCCAGCCCAATGTGGTTAAGTCAGTCAGCCAGTCAGCCTGCCTCTCTCTCTCTCTCTCTCTCTCTCTCTCTCTCTCTCTCTCTCTCTCTCTCTCTCACACACACACACACACACACACACACACACACACACATA